CATACATGCAGTTTTTAAAAGATGGTAACAATAAACTTGAGAAATAAAAAGTGATCACTGGGACAAATTTATTTGATGAAAAGGTCTAATGTATTTTAGAGGATTATGAGTATAGCAAGAAAGGGTTCTTTTTGCTTTTGTTTTTGTTTTAAATTACTGAAATTGCTCAGGTTGACCAAACAGTGCACTAGAAACAAGGAAATACCGTCTTACAATGGAAGCCACTCTTGTCTGATTTTATAATGCTCCTCAAATTTATCCAGACTCTTGGACATTTTCACATAAAAATTATCAACCAAACAGAGCAAAGCTCTAGACACTTGTACATCTTGGATTCTTATGACCAACATCTATGTTTCAACAAATATGTAATATTTTAATCTTTCAAAATTAAAAATTTGCTTCATTGAGATTTGTACTCTAAACTACTTCTATTCTTTCTTGTACACACAATAGCTTTGAGTGTCAGCATGGACTCTCTTTGGGAATTCCTTGAAGACATACCAAACTGCTACTAACTAAAATAAAATTATATCAAATGACTCACAATAAAAAGACAGGATCAACCAAAAAGATGAATTCACTGATATTTTGTAGATATTGTCTGTCTCGTATTGCTAACCTAGACATTATTTTTCAGGTCTTTTTCCTGCATATTATGATTTCCGTTTTTGTATATATATGTGTATATGTGAGTGATTCTTAAGCTTTTCTTTGTTTTTGAATTATGATTTTTATTTATTTCTTTTAAAAAGAGAAAGAAAGAAGGTATAAAGATGGATATATGGAGAGATGGGGATGATCTTGGAGGCATTTGGGATAGAGAAACTTTGATGAGCATATATTGCACAAAAAAATTTATTTTCCATTTAAAAAAAAAAAGAACCCAGTTTACACATGCCCCAGCAGTAATCATGAGCCACAACAATGGCTTGTTTGGCAAATTGAAAACGATTCTGATTCTAATATGCATATGAGTTAATTAAGTATTAATTAATTAAAAACTACAAAGTGTGAGTTGAAGTATGACATAGAGCATAGTGAATTTCAGGATGAGAAGCTAATGTTAAGGATGGTGCTTTTGTTAGGGTTTATATTACTGTAAAGAGACAGCATGACCAAAGCAACTCTTATAAAGGAAAACATTTAACTGGGGCTGGCTTACAGTTTCAGAGGTTTATTCCATTACCTTCATTACAAGAAGCATACAGGTAGACATGGTGCTGGAGAAGTATCTGTGAGTTCTACATCTCAAATTTTAGGTAACAAGATGTGAACTGTGTACCACACTGCATGTTGCTTGAGCAAAGGGGACCTCAATACCCCCCCCCCACACACACAGTGGCATGCTTCCTCCAAACAGGGCACTTCAGATAAACTATACCTTGTAATAGCACTACTCAATTGGAGCTTATAGGGCCAATTACATTCAAACTACCACAGATGGGGCATCATTTTCATGGGAAGACACTGAATCATGAGCCTAACATACCAAAAAACACTTGCTGAATGTCCTTGAAAGTGCAAAGATATATACAATGCTTATTTAAAAAATAGCAGATGAGCCCTGAAGAATGACACCCTGGTTTTCTGAACCTCTACACCATGTATACAGAGAGAGAGAGAGAGAGAGAGAGAGAGAGAGAGAGAGAGAGAGAGAGAGAAGGGAGGGAAAGACAGACAGAGACAGAAAAAGAGAGAGAGAGAGAGGGAGAAAAGAGAGAGAGGGAGAAAATTTTGTACATATGTCCATCCACATTTTAAATTAGTTCTCTGATGTTATTGGGAACACAAAGACAAGAAGAAGTTATTATAGTGGGGTCTGAAGCGATGGCTCAGAACTTAAGAACCCTGGAAGCTCTTTCAGAGGAAATTGAAATATGAATGAAGTTTATGCCCTAGCAATGTTGATGCATGCATTGGTGGTCAATGTGTGGTGATTCTGTTGAACTTATCCACCCTGGGTTTTATCATCTAAGTTGATGAGTATGACTGACCAGGTTTCTTCCTCAAGAGGGCACCAGATATCATTGCAGATGGTTGTGAGCCACCATGTCGTTGCTGGGAATTGAACTCAGGAACTTTGGAAGAGCAGTCAATGCTCTTAACCGCTGAGCCATCTCTCCAAAACCAAATTCAATTCCCAGTACCCACATGGCAGTTCATAACTGTCTATAACTCCATTTTAGAGGTTCTGACATTTTTACACAAATGCATATAAAATAAAATTAAATAAATCATTTAACTAAGAAGTTATTACAGTGAACCAAATTAACATCTGACACTAGTATCCAACCTTGTGCAAAAACACCATTTCACTCTTCTTTTTCAAGTTTCCTAACTACACTCATATAAATCTTGTCTCCAAAATAATAAGAACTGTCCATTAAAATATCTGGTAACATGCCTATTTTCTCTAAATTAAATCAATAAAAATAATGCTATTGCTAGATAAATCATTATTTTAATGCTTCAACAGCATTCATATAGTTTCTATAATTTAAGATATTAAGCTTCTTGCAATTCCTTGTGGTTTTCAACTAAGTTAGCAAATTAGTCTGAAATTGGAGACTAATTGAAACAAAATCTATCTGAAAAATGTCATGCAGAAAAGTCACGATAAGGTCATTTCCCCCAAGAATTCCCACAGTTCTTTATTGCCCTTTGTTTGAAAGGACTGTGCCATCAATACCTTAATTACTGGTGCAAACAGACAGCAGGAATCAAGGCAAGGGAACAGTCTCAGAGAGTCTTGCAAAATGCAGGTCATTCTGATGAGCCCAACCACAAAGGATGAGCCACATTTTAATAACGAGGGCTAAATTTTATATCCATGTCACTGCTTAGCGTGTCACCATACTAAAACACACCAAGGTAACTGATCTCATGAATGTGCATGAATTGGCTAAAGTTCCGTGCTCAAAATGCATTTTTTCTGATATTCTGTGAGAAGTATCAATAAATCCTCAGAGAGAATCAATACATTGCAATAAATAGAGTGAGCTTTGAAAAGATTATCGAACATGATAAAACAGGGTGTGTTTGGGAAATACGATTTTATTATTGTGTTATAAAAACCAAATAGGGTAACATTGATAGGTGACTAAACAGGATAGCATGAGGTAGACAGCCGCTTTCATAGTATTGTCTCTTTTGATAAGGGAATCTAGAGTTTCATCTGTGTGGTAAATAAATGGAACAGATATTGACTGAAAATATTAAAAGGACCAGCAGGCTCTTCAGCAATTTAGAGGACTGGGGGTTTTCGGAAGCCTGCATTGTCAGTAGACTACTTTCCCTACTGCCACCTTACTGCTGTCATCTTTCAAATTCTCCCACATTTTACATGAGAAGCAACACAAGCACACAAGCGTCAGACAAATTAAAACTACCGCTCTTCAAAAAAGGGAGCAAAATGTACACTAAAAATCACTCTCCGTAACAAAAATACTGTTTGAAAAACCTGCAACAGTCCAGCATTCTTCTCTGTAGCACAAATGTCACATATTCTGTAGCATTCTAATATTAACCCTAGTTTAAGCATTCTAATTCAAAACTATCTAGGCAAAAATAATTTCTAAATTTTTTTCTTTGCAGATCTCTAAATTAATTAGAAAATTGTACAACATATAAAAATGTGATGCCAAGTAATATCTCTGTTTCAATAGTTGTAATTATGGATCAGTTGTGGACTCATATTCAGCATTAACAATACATACACATTTCTGTCTCGGAATGTGTTCCATTTTGTCAGTGACCTTGGGCCAGAGACAGAAGAGAAGCATTCCACTGCCATGCTTTCAGAAACCCAGAATGACAAGGGTCATCCCAAGGGACTGTATGAAGTCATGCCATATTTACTACTAGATTAAGGAAAGAACTATCTATTTGCAAATATAGCTGATTAATAAAACTAGTAATTCTTTCTTCATAGTCCACATTGCTATCATAATCAATTGCTATTCAATAAATTCCTTCACTCATGGTCATCTGATGGTCCCATCTGCTGATATTCACAAAAATCAAATGACATCTATGACAAAAACATATTCCCGGTGATCATGCACTTCTTACAGCAGACTAAATCTTGTTTAACAAATTAAAAACAATACTTATTTGCTCCTTAAAAATATCATCTGTATGCTAAATTTTATGGTTTGTTGATATAATGGCCTTTTCCATATTCTAGGTGACTGTAAACAAAGCATTTGACTTAATTATATTTACTACAATTTATCACACTAAAAGACAGTTGGTAAACTATAACATTCATACATTCATTTCTGTAATCTTTATTTATTAAGATAATTATATGGCCCTTGCTTTAGATTCACACATTAGAAAGTATTATCAGCTTGATTTATTAAACTATTTTTGATTTTTTTTATTTATTTGCCAAAATAAAAACCTGTTTTATTCACTGAAACTAATTAACATTGTCCATAAAACCTTGTCAATGAAAGCTATATATTATATTATAATCAATCACTTCTGAGTACAAAAGTATTTAGAGATCTAATACACTGGAAACAATACCATAATTAGTTTTGAAATTGACTACAGAAGACAAGAACATAAAAACCAAGATACCAGTTACACACTGTTTCCTGAATATAACAATTTTCCAGTGATTAGCTAATGTTGTATATTTTCTATTATCTTTTATAATAAGTGTGTGTGTGTGTGTGTGTGTGTGTGTGTGTGTGTGTGTAATCCAGAAACACACTTAATTATGTTGTGTGCATAACTGGACAAATTGGTAAGTCACTGCCCTGCTGAAATAATGATTAAAATATGCAATTATGCTTTCCATATCCAAAATAAAAATGGACTAAGATCATCACTTTGCTTTCAGCTTTTCCTGCTGTTTAGGTAGCATGAATTTGTTATATTCATATAGCAAACCCTTAAATTTTTATCAAAAAGAGGCAAATAAAGACCAAGACGTTTATCATTTTGTGCAAACCCACTGACAACGAACAGCATGCTGCACGCAGTACCTTTGGGTATTGTTTCACCGGGATCAACACTCTTTCAGAAAGCTTTATGTTTTTGTTGCTGATGACATCGAGATATTTCTTTTCTTCGTCTTCTTTTTTTCCATCTGAACCTTGAAATTTCTCAATTTCTGAAAGAATAAAAAAAACACAAAACACAATTCAGTGAAACGAAACATAAGCCACCATAGTATAATGAGTGTTCTTTCTATTCCATATAAAATTTGGATAATTTTGATAAAGGCTGAAACTGCACCGTGCAATCAATTATGTGAATACTGCTATATGGAGACCTCTGCCAACGGTAACTAATAGGTGGTAATGCAACATGACTGTAGCTACTGTGAACAAAATGATCCATTTAGCTGCCGTATGTAGCTTCTAATAAGATACAAGAAAACTATGTCCTCTGACTGCATAAAACACGTACAAACATAGCTGTCCTGGGAATGGAGACTAGAGCAAAGCATATTTTAAGTTTATATTATTTTTTCTTTTATTTGGAATGATTCCTAAGAAAAAAAATATTTAAAAATAATAACAATCCAGTTCTAAACTACAGCAAAATTAAATTATATATTATTATATTATAAACATTTTAAAAGTCTATCTTAAAGGGGTCATATGAAATATAAAGATTGTAATTAACAAATTTTAAGGAAAATGGTTATTTTGTCCTTTTAAGAATGTTCCAGAGAGGCTATTGTAAACATAATTAAACAACTTATTCATTCTTTCATTTTAAGATTTTCATAAAAATGGGGTCTCTATTATGCCTACCAGAGATAGAATAAAAAACAGAAAGGGTCCTGGTTTCATACAGTACGTATTCTAATGAGGAAAACAAACATATGCATAAATATGTGGGGAGAGAAAATATACACCACAAAACTAATAAAGGTGTTCATGATAGTAGAGTCAAGGGATGCAGTCTGGGCAGAGGGTCTATTAGAATAAATCAGTTCAGGTCTTGATGTTAAGGAAGAGTACATCATGAGGAAACAGACAAGAAAGACTAGCAGCTGAGGAAAGAACAACCTGGATTGGCAGAAGAACAGCAAACAAAGAAAGGAGTATGGTGGGAGATATAGGACAGATAATTTACGATCCTGTAGGACAGGAGATGATTTCTGATCTCTCTCTCTCTCTCTCTCTGTGTCTCTCTCTCTCTGTGTGTGTGTGTGTGTGTGTGTGTGTGTGTGTGTGTGTGTGTGTGTGTGATTGTACTTGGAAGCCAGTGGACAGTCTTGAGTAGAAAGGAGGGAGAACATGAACAAGGATGTCAGGACCACTGATACAAGGGGACTGATCTAATGAGAGCTCACCAAGGCCAGCTGGACTGGGACTGAACGAGCATGTGATCAAACCAGATTCTCTGAATGTGGTTGACATGGGGGTTGACTGAGAAGCCATTGATAATAGCACTGGGACTTGTTTGGTCTGCATGTACTGGCTTTTTGGGATCCTAGTCTTTTTGGATGCTTACCTTCCTAGACCTGGAGGGAGGGGGGAGGAACTTGAACTTCTCACAGGGCAGGAAACCCTGACTGCTCTTAGGACTGGAGAGGGAGGAGGAGAGGGAGTGGGGGGAGTGGGAGGGTATTGGGAGGAGGGGCAGAAGTGGAAATTTTTATAAAGTAATAAAAAAAAGAAAAGAAAGGAGGGGACAGCCACATTAATTTGCCTTGGTCTTGCAGTCATTGATAATCAGTTTGGTCTTGAACTCATGATCCTCCTGACTCAGCCTCATCAGTGCTGGGCTTGCAGGCTCACAGATTTCTAGCTGGGAAGTGATACTAAGGCTGGAAAAGTAAGTCAGGAGTTAGATAGTGAGGCAAAGGGCCAGCAGAAGCTGGAGTCATCTGTGGGAAAGAGACATATTTGGGATGTAGAAAACCTGTTCTCACTAATTTTTATCAGTTATTATCACATCTTCTATAAATAAATTTTGTCTTGTTCTTTGCCAGCTTTACTCTACAGTCCCCAAATGTCGACTAGTGCAATTATGAATGGGAATAATTTTTACTTTTGTTACAAATGCATCAAACCCTTCTGTCCATAGTGTTCTGTAGAGAGAAAAAGTGATGATGGACATTAAGATGGGCATTGAAGTATATATTAATTCAATTGCTTTTAATGTCCGACTACTCACAAAGGGATAAGATATATACTACTTATTATAAAAGGGTCTCAAATGAATACTATATCATTAATTTTTTTAACTTACTAATTTACACAAATGTTTTTCCAAAGCTTTCAGAAAAATTACTAACACCTTGCATTTACAGATCTGTTGACTTCCATTTTTGTCATGTATACAACTTCAGCAATCTTTCCATAGTTTTTACATTGCTTACTTATACAAAGCTTTGTTGAAGAGTTTGAACATTTGTAATGAATTTATTAGTTATCCACTAAAATTTCACTTAAGCCAAGTGTCTTACTGAACAGAATCATTTAAATGTAAGTTATGTGCATATTGGTTACTGATGTGGGAGAATTGTCTGTATTCTGTCAATCACATTTTAATAAAATGCTGATTGGCCAGGCAGGCAGTATAGGTGGGAAAACCAGACAGGAAGTTTAGGTGATGCAATGAGAACATGAGAATTCTGGGAAGAAGGGAGGTTCCTCTGCCACTTGTGCTCAGACCACCGAAGAGGCAGCATGTAACTGTCCCAGCTGAAAAAGGTACGCAGCCATGTGCTAACATAGATCAGAATAATGGGTTAAGATAAGTCATAAGAACTAATAAGTAGCCTGACCTAGTGGGCCAATCAGTTTATAATCTTATGGAGTCCTGTGTGTGATTTTCTTTGGGGTTTGCCAGCTGTGGGGTACTGGGTGGGAACAGATACCCCAACAAGCTGGCCCTCATGTTACAGGTTACTACTTAGCATGTTGACATCAGGTTTCTACTGTTCTACTTCAGCATTAAGTGTCATCAGTATATTAAGAGATAACTTTAAACTGACTGCTTCATAAGTCGCAAGAAGCTCTTTCTTCAGATCTTTCCTAACCTGCTATCCTTTTACAACCAGAACGCTGGCAACTTCAAGTAAATGCTCTTCATTACATAATCTGTGATAACAATGAACTTCTGATCAATGTCCCTGGTACTTGAACCTTTCCCGTATTTTACTTCCTACTCTGTGCAGGGGAACTGTAACAAGAGACACACTGAAGCTCAAGTCAGTCCCAATCTGTTACATGAATGGCTTCTTTGTCAGTCTGTCATGAAAAGACACTGAATTTGTCTGACATTCTTCGCCTCCCCTAAAACTTCAAGTTAGGCTTTTTTAGACAGAATTTGGTCATTCTATGATTATTTCTAGTAATGTTCCTATCAGGAAGAAGAGCCAAATAAAATCCCATTTTCACTCCTCTTTCTGAACAATTCTGCAATTTCCCTTTGAAACTCTTGCTATTTCTTTAGTCCTTGTGATAGATTCACTCAGTTATCTTTCTTCTCTGACATATCAGTGTGAGCAATAGCTCAATAATTACATGTCAACTACAGTGCCACAAAATGATATAACCAAACCTTGTCCAATTTCAAAATCAGAGAATTCAAATTTATAAAGCCACTTTTCCTATTTTATTTTTTTGTTTTCAAATTATTTGCATTCATATATTTAAAATAAATGTTTGAATTTTTACTCTTTAAGTGTTAGTTAATTAATTATTTATCATCCTATGGATTGAACATGGTCTCATGTACAATACTCGGCAAATAGGGTGTATCTCCAGCCCTCTTTTGTTAAGTATGATCTTTGAGATTCCACAGTGTCCTGAATTCACTCTGTATTCCACGGTGGCCTTAAACATAAGATAGGCTAGCCTCAGCCTCCCAAAACCTTGTACACAGGCATGCAACAGCAGGACCAACTTAAAATATTCATATTTTTTTATTTCATGATTAAGGCATATGCTTTGTAATATTTAGAGAATATGGCTACTCATAAATTTTAAAAGTTCACTAATTAGAGAGTAGTGTATAGAGAAATAAAAACATTTCACATTTCCAGGTAGCATCTATTTAATGATAATCAGTACATTATGGGATATGATATTTAATATACTAGGGGTAATGGTTTAAAGACTTAAATTTTGTGTGTGTGTCTTTCTTCTTCATTTTATTGATTTTTATTGAGCTCTACATTTTTTTCTGCTCCCTTCCCTGCCTCTTCTCTCTCATTCCACCCTCCCCCAAGGTCCCTATACTCCCAATTTACTCAAGAGTTCTTGAAGGTGGAGAAATTTTTATGTTTAATGTTATCTTGCTTTGGTTTGTCAGTGAATATATTTATTCAACAATTATTATTGCTAATACTGTAGAACCTTGGTGATGTGGAAATCCAAAGGTGTATTCCTTCATCATATCTCCATCCACGTAATGATTGGCTGGCATGCAAAGAAGACTATAGAAGAAAGCAATGCAAAGTAAATTTCTACTTCTGCTCTTTTATTACTTTATTTACTGCTATATAAATTCCTTAAATATGATTTCCACAAGTTTTATTATATTTTATAAACATCTTTAGCTGTGTTTTAATCTGATTTTTATGTTCTAGTGTAAATTTTAATATCTGAGGTGATGTATGCAGATTAGTTGTGTGCAGAATTTCAGAAATTTCATTTCTTGTTTTATAAGCATTGTTCAGCATCAAATTACAGAAATGGAGAGCAGCAGAGACTTCTTTTAATGCCATATTAGCTTTTTTAAAAATGTACTTTACCTGTTAATTGTACACTTTAAAAATCAAGTAGGTTTTTCTTAGTAGCTAAGGTTTACATGACTCACTAATGTTTCATGTAAATGATATGTATTCTCTGTTGTTGGAGTCAACGATAGGATATAAAGTCATGAGACACCATACAATCACAAGCACAGAATACATTTTTTAATAAAAATGGAAATGTGAATGTTTCCTTGGACTATGCACTCAACAGTAGAATTGTGTTTATAATTTGAGTAAATAGTTAAAGCAACTAAATTAATCTCTGCTATTTAGGTCTTGGAAATATTGTAGGCCCATTTTAATAGAGTATAAATGTTCAAATTGCCAATAACTCCTCAAATTAGTTTCATTTTTAAATTAACTATAGTAAGAAAAACAGCTTAAAAATG